GGAGGGGCGGGGAGTGCAGGAGGGCTGAGGGGCGGCGTGGGGGCTGCGCGGGCCGAGCGCGGCTGACGGCCCCGCGCCCAGACTACAGGAAGAAGTACCGGGAGCACGTGCTGCGGCAGCACGCCAAGGTCAAGGAGCGCAACGCCCGCTCCGTGAAGATCAGCAAGCGCTTCACCAAGCTGCTGATCGCGCCCGAGGCCCTGGCGCCGGAGGACGCGGGCCTGGACCCCGCGGAGGAGGCCCCGGCCGAGCGCGCCAGGCGCTCGGACACCCACACCTTCAACCGGCTGTTCAGCCGCGACGACGAGGGCCACCGGCCGCTGACCGTGGTGCTGCAGGGCCCGGCGGGCATCGGCAAGACGATGGCGGCCAAGAAAATCCTGTACGACTGGGCGGCCGGCAAGCTGTACCACGGCCAGGTGGACTTCGCCTTCTTCCTGCCGTGCCGCGAGCTGCTGGAGAGCGCCGGCGCCAGCAGTCTGGCCGACCTGCTGCTCCAGCAGTGCCCGGACCGCAGCGCGCCCCTGCGCCCGATGCTGGCGGGGGCCGAGCGGCTGCTCTTCATCCTGGACGGCGCCGACGAGGTGCCCGCCGACGTCGCGCCCTGCACAGACCCGTTCGAGGCGGCAGGGGGCGCGCGCGTGCTGGGCAGCCTGCTGAGCAAGGCGCTGCTGCCCCAGGCGCGCCTGCTGGTGACCTCGCGCACCGCCGCGGCCGGCCGGCTGCAGGGCCGCCTGTGCGCGCCGCAGTGCGCAGAGGTGCGCGGCTTCTCCGACAAGGACAAGAAGAAGTACTTCTACAAGTTCTTCAAGGACGAGAGGAGGGCGGAGCGCGCCTACCGCTTCGTGAAGGAGAACGAGACGCTGTTCGGGCTGTGCTTCGTGCCCTGCGTGTGCTGGATCGTGTGCACGGTGCTGCGCCAGCAGCTCGAGCTCGGCCACGACCTGTCGCGCGTCTCCAAGACCACCACCTCCGTGTACCTGCTCTTCATCAACAGCGTGCTGAGCTCGGCGCCCGCCGACAAGCCTCAGGTGCGCGCCGAGCTGTGCAAGCTGTGCCGCCTGGCCCGCGAGGGCGTCCTTGCGCGCAGGACGCGCTTCCCCGAGGAGGACCTGGAGCGCCTGGGGTTGCATGGCTCCAAGGTCCAGGCGCTGTTTCTCAGCAAGAAGGAGCTGCCCGGCGTCCTGGAGACCGAGGTCACCTACCAGTTCATGGACCAGAGCTTCCAGGAATTCCTCGCTGCTCTGTCCTACCTGCTGGAGGAGCAGGGGGCTCCTGAAGGCCCCGCTGGCGGTGTCAGGACGCTCCTGTGCCGGGACCCCGATCTGCACGGCCACCTCACGCTCACCACGCGCTTCCTCTTCGGGCTGCTGAGCGCGGAGAGGATGCGCGACATCGAGCGCCACTTCGGCTGCGCCGTCTCAGAGAGTGTGAAGCAGGACGTCCTGAGGTGGCTGCAGGAGCAGGGGGCGCCCAGGGCCGCACCGGAGCAGGCCGAGGAGTCCGGAGGGCTGGGGAGCGCCGCGGCAGGGGAGCAGGAGGAGCGGGGGGTGCCGGCGGCGCGGCAGGCGCAGCTGCTGCAGGAGCCGGAGCCGGAGCCGGAGCCGGAGCCCGAGGAGGAGCAGGAGCTGGAGGAGCGCAACTTCCCGCTCGAGCTGCTGTACTGCCTGTATGAGACGCAAGAGGGCGCCTTCGTGCGCCGGGCCCTGGGCAGCTTCCCGCGGCTGGTGCTGGAGCGCGTGCGCTTCCGCCCCATGGACGTGGCGGTCCTGAGCTTCTGCGTCAGGTGCTGCCCCGCGGGACAGGCGCTGCAGCTGGTTGACTGCAGACTGGTCGCTGCACAGGAAAAGAAGAAGAAGAAGGGCCTGATGAAGCGGCTGCAGGGCGGCCTGGGCGGCAGCAGGTGAATCTCCGGGGCAGGACAGTGTCCAGGCCTCTCCTGGGCACTTGCGCCTGCGCGCCCGCGGGGCCCCTCCGCGCGCTGACGGCGCGTCCGGGACGGGACGGTCAGCTCACCCTGAGAGGTGGCTCCAGGGCCGGCG